GGCAAAAAAGGCATTGGCAAGATTTTTTAGCCTGACAAGTGGTGGTCAGAATCTAGGCTCTTAGGTAACATGTCACATGTATATTTTTTTTTAAAAAAAATAGGGGATGAGAAGTCATCCTCCCCTGTAAAAAATAAAATAAAATAAATAAAACTAAGCCTAGGTGTGCTGAACTCTTTTTTTTGCCCCTAAAATAAAAAGTATTTGACCTTGAAGGCCCACCTATAAACATGGGCTTTTCCTTGAAATGACTTGAGCATATTGGGCTTCTTTTTTACCCATTATTGTTCTTTATATATATATATAAAGAGAGAAAGTATAAATTTAAGAGAGAAAAATTATTTAACTTAGTTGATATTATAAGCCGGATCAGAGGTTTGACAAGTTAAGTCACAACACTAGAGTTACTATTTCTTTTTTCTTTTTTTTATTTTAATTTTTTTTGATATTTTTTTTAATACTCTTTTCTTAAATTTATGTTTGAGTTAAATCACTCATCTATATTTTTTTTATTTTCTTATTTAATCATTTTTGGATAAAGAGTTTTTTTTAATTATTTTATATGCATTTAATTTTTTTAAGTGATTTTTCTTAATCATTATAATTTTTTTAAATATTTTGTATATATGAACTTGATTTTTGAAAATAAATTTTTTTATTTCTAAATAATATTTATAATATGTGCAACCTCGCATAATTTTTTTTCCTTCTTTTTTATTCAATCAATTTAATATGTGCATCTATTTCTATTATTATTTAATTGAATGAAAAATCATTTGATTCTCTTAAATGATTTTGACATCATCCTCACGTATAGCTAGAGATTTGCTATCTTGGCATGGTTGTATAAACATATATCTTCCATGTTTGAAGGAGGTTCAACATGTTGGGGAATGCTTATTACTTCAACAGGTATGGATTTAGAAATACCATCTAGACTTTAAATGTTTGGTGTTAACACAAATAACAATTATGGTTGTGGGAACATCTTCATGTTGGCAAACTACAGATACCCTGATTACCGTTTATGGTTTTCCAGATTATAGGGGTTACAATTCATCCCCCACTTGGATGCATGTACTACGATGTTATTTTGCAATTATATGCATTTATATTGTGTAATTGTAACTTTACAATAATACAATTAAACTAATATATTTTTAATATTATAGGATGTGCTGGTATAGTATTTGAAAATAATCCAACATATATGTTGACATTTTATTGGAGCAAACTAGACAAATAACATGTTATCTATATTTTTTTTCAATCATCTGTTTAATAAAAATCATTACAATTCATCAAATTATTATTGTTTAATATTTAAAAAATTTATATTCTATAGATCATGTGGACACCTTATTCGAATGAAAGATTACTAGTTGCTTTAGTTGTTTGCACTAGTGGGATAAATATATGGGCATTAGTGATCTGGTTGATATTTTTTAGATGGTCGAGCTACATTGTCCAAACCGGATAATGTGATAGTTTGACTATAAATAACACATTCCAGTAGATATTGACATGAGTGATGCATTACATGCCATAACTCGTCAAGGTAAAAATGATGGTTATCATTGGTTAAGCTAACATGAAGCTTATGTAACATAGTGGGATGCATGTAGGAATGAGACATTTATAGACATGCATCATGTGATTACAGATAAAGAGTATATAATTTGGTACATGAGTATTACAAATTAAGGTCATTACTAGGATATATGCAATACAAGCAATATGTCTAGTAGATTCAAAATCTTATGATTAATCAAATATTTTAATAATTAATATTTGTTAAACATTAGGTTTTATGTATTGATCTTTTAATTTAATATTAATATTTTATTAATATTAGTTTGGTTTCATGCTATGGAAAAGTTGAAAGGTCACATTTTATCTTTGTAATACAAACAAAAAAACAAAAACAAAGTTCACATTGTTGTATCCTAGTAGTTAAATATTTGCCACACTAAACCTAATACATTTGAAGAGAGGTTAACTCTTAATAATGTTGTTGTAGAGGATAAGGTTACTTAGACAAGTGCGTGAGCTAGATCTAATCATACTACTAATGAGTCGGATCATCAAATAGATGACGTTCATGTAGATAAATAGATAAGTTATGTTTATATATTTTAGGATTATTTAAATATTGTATTATTATATTATTTTTTATTTATTTTATATGTATATGTGTTTTTGATGCATTCTTAGCGCTACTTATAACTATGAAATGTGAAAATTTATTGAGTTTAGATATAATTTGTTGATTAGGATTATTATGAATTTTTATATGTTTTTTAAATATGATAAAATTTTGGGTATAGTTTCTGTATAGGAAAAACACTTTCTAAATTTTATTAAAATTATAAAAGTTTTAACTGTCTAAAACTTAAATTAAAAAAAACTATGATTCAAAACATAAAATTTTTCAAAAATAGATAAGAGCTCAAATAGTCTAATATATATCGCAAGTCTAATAAATCAAGTTACATTTTTTAACTTTCTAAATTTAAGGGTAATTTAAATCTTGTTTAAGATTATAGTAGTGGTTACGGTTTAAAGTATTTTTTATTTTTAAATATATCAAGATAATATTTTTTATTTTAAAAAAATTATTTTTAATATTAATGTATTAAAATGATGTAAAAATACTAAAAAAATATTAATTTCAAACAAAATAAAATTTAAATTATTTTAAAAACATGGATTAAAATGCTTTTCTAAAATAGCCCTAAATACTAGGAATCAATATTAAAATTAAAAGATGACATAGGCACCCTTAAATAGTTATCAATCAACATTAGATTCGACGCAGTGCTTGGACCCTCTCTAAGTTGACTTGGCTTTGGATAATGATAGACCAACCCAACACTTGGTGAGTCCCTTTCTTTTGATAGCATCCATGGCTTCCGCTCTTCATTTGCTTCTTTCCCAGCAAGTTTTTAATTGCCATCATAAACACTGCATTTGCGAGGACAGTACAAGTTTCTGAGCCCAAAAGATATCCATCAAAATTTGCAGGTACAACACAGCCAAGGACAACCTTCAATAAAATCAATTTTATTCTATATAGAATAAATAAAAATAGAATTGAGATGCTCACGTGCTAGAAAACCATCTTGAGTCTTCACAGAGTTGAAGTGTTCATTGAACAGTCATTTATATCAATAAAAACTTTCGAATAAAACTGTAAAAAAGGCCTGTAAAATCTTGAGCTGGTAAATTTATATTAGGTAGCACTTTCATGATGGTGTCCAATTCAAAGAGCAGCCCTAAATTGGAGCTTTAGAAGTTTCTCCAAATATAGAAAAGTGATAAAAAAAAAAAACCCTCTTAAACTTATATATTCATCTAATTAAATAAACCAATAATTATTTATATAAATAAAAAAATTATTAATAATAATCAAAAGAAAAATTCAGATAAATTAAGAGATTGATGGAGACAAACATATTTGATCTTGTAAAATAAGATATTTATTCGTTTGTTTTTTATAAATTTTCTTATTAAAATCAATAAAAAATACTAGAAACAAATAAATACAGAACTAAAAATATTATGCAAAACCAAACATATAAGAAATCTTATTTAAGAATAAATATTTTTTTATAAAATAAAGCTCATTTGTATAAAATAAAAGGAATTATTCAAAAATTATATATAAAAAATCATTCTTAAAAAATTTTTATTAAAAAAATTTGTAATTGGATGGTTAATTTAAAAACAATTAAACTTTAACAAAAAGAAAAATAAATCAAAAGAATGAGGGGCAATTGAAAAAAATATATAAACTTTTATTGAATGATAAAATTGAAACTCAACAAAACTTTAACAAAAGACCCAAGAAAAAAAATCAAAAATAAAAAAACAAGGATTGAATTGGAAAAAATAATATATGACAAATTGTAATTCAAGAATTAAATTAAAAATAACTAAAACTATTATAATAGGACAAAGGAAGACAATAAACAATAAAAAAATAAAAAGACTAAAATTGACAAATGTAAAGGAAAAAAGGAGTAAAGATGTATTTTCTCTAAAAAAAAGAACATAATAAAAACAAAAAAAAAAGAAACGATTGTAGGCAAGAAACCAACCACAGTATGTTGACATATGCAGCCTTATAAAAAAAAAACACAATGACATATCTAATAACACAGTGAAAAAATAGGTGTGGCTACTAATTGAGTTTCGCAAGTGTCATCCAAACATCGTGGATGACACTTACTTACTTTTTAATGTGTGAACGTAATGTTACAACATTTTTTTTAAATAAAATAATTATTTTTCAATATAAAAATACCAGAATATCCTTAATGAATGTAAGAGTCACATAAAAAGAAATATCAGAATGTCCTTAATGAATGTAAGAGTCACATAAAAAACCATAGTGAAAATATACAAATGCCTCTAGACACATGCCTTGATTTTTGTCTTTTCTAGAGGTATATAATAATAGTATTTCTATTATATTTAAAACAAAATAAATGTACTCACTCAATAACTATTTTTGTTTTTTAACTTCAAGAATAAATAAATATTTTAATCATTTCAATGTTTTTGAAAAGACTAAAAATCATTGGCTAGCAGGGGAAAAAATTGTTAAATTTAGAATAAAATCATTTGTAAAAATATTAAAAATACTAATATACGACTAATAAACTAATTGTAAAGACCAAAACACCCTTAATATATATATATATATTCAAGGATAAAAGAGTAATTTTATTATACTAATCTATGATTATCTGCACCTACTGCTATATATTTTAGAGTTTTTGTTAATTATAAAATTTATGGTTCACCGATTTAATATGCAGCACGTAAAAGTGGGTTAACGCATAAATGTGAATCATGATTACATTTTTTCCTATCTAGATTTGATTTTTCCTCTCGCTTTAACTTCCAAAAAGATTTATAAAATCACTAAAAATAATAAATTAAAGAAAAATAAAGCATTATGAACTTGAAAAGGCCAAATAAATTTTTTTACAAGTAAAAAAAAAAAAGGTCAAAATCAAATTCAAGAAACCAAAGATTTACCGTGTGACAGAACAAGACCAGAGGAAAGCATCCCATCAAACATGGCAAAAAAATTAAAGAACAGCTTAAATAATAAAAACAACAAAATAAAAGTCACCATGTAATGACATTCTAAACCCACAGGAAAAGAGCTGTGGAAGCAACAGCGCAGCCAATGAGAACCGAAAAGGGTGCAGAGATAGAATATGCCATCCCTTTCGCTGGTGCTTGTGCTGGAACTTCAATAATTACTGGAGCTGCTGCTGAAACCCCATTCTCATCACTGTTCGATGGTGCCGGAGCTGGGGCTGAAGGTTGGTTATTTGTTGGTGGCTCTATAACAGGATACGGTGGAGATTCTGTTGGTGGAGCTGGCTCTGGTACGGAGTATGGAGGGTTAGCTGCTTAAACATTTTCCACAAAATAAAAATGTTTAAGCTGTCGTAAACAATAATGAACAGAGAAAAGAATTTCCCTCACAAAAGAGTTCAAATAATTAAATATTATGGGGCGTGACAATATAATCAGGAGCTTGATGATAATCTCTGCTCTACACTACACCTTATCATCACTTTAAATTCGTTATTTTTTTTTTAATTCATTGTTCATGAAAGGACTTGTTATCTTATTTGTCAAATTAGGAAACATTAAATATCCAATTCCAAATCCCACACCAATCATGTCTTTCTGTTTTACTAGCTGAATACACTCAAAGTAGATCTTTCATATTGTCAATTATCATCAAAACAAAGCAAGATAGAACAATTTCAGATTGAAATGGGGGAAAACATGATCCAAAACTTACGTACCAGGTGCACCGGTAGCAGGCACAGAGACTGCATGCAAAACAAACACGTCATCGAATAGATAAATAATCAATCAAATAAAACTTTCTAAGAAAAACGATCCAGGTATTAGATTACTCACTGCTACATTTACTAAGAGGAGGAGCAGAAACTCCACACTCAGAAGATAAAGCTGCAGCCCTGGTAAGATTCACAGCAACGCCAAAATCTGCACCATGCTTCATTGCAAAACATAAGCACTCAGCATCCTGACTAAGCACTGCTTCAAACCCAGCACAGCAAGAATCAGTGGGCTTCGCCGCTTCGCTACCGTCCGACAAATAGGTTATACAATCCAACATGTCAAATGCCACATTGGTACAATCTGCTGATGGTGACGGTGCTGGTGATTTCCGAGGTGATGATTCATGGTGAGCACAGTTTGCTAGCACAGCCAGTGTGGCCAAAATGCAACCAATGAAGAGACTTCTCTTCATTTTTGCTGTTGTTTCTAGGTTGAGAGTGATCCAAAGAGGCTATAAAAACGAAAATAAGAAAAAGTGTAGGTACCTAGGGTTTGTTACGTTGGTTTATATTTATCACTTTAAATAAATAACTTAAAAATAAATTATATTTAAAAATCTCTATGAATCTCTCTACAGTATTTTAAATTTCGCTTTTATATTGGGATTTTTGTTTTATATTTTCTAAATTTTAACTTCTCATCATTTATTTAAGTAAACTAGTCTACTAACTTTAGAGTTCTTGTACTTTAGATGATTACTCTATTTATATAACATCACAATTATCACCTGAAATATTTAATTTATCTATTTATATATCACAATTATCACCTGAAATATTTAATTTATGCATTCGCATCAATTAATACGTGAATTTTTCAACATTTTTTTTGGCATTGCTAAACAGGATAGTAAAGAGAACAACTCCATTTTTAATTAATTTTTTTTTTCTTGGAGTTTGATATGATTGTATATATGTTTTGGGCTCGATACTCATGCTCATTATACAAGTTAAATTATTACTAATAACTAAAAGAATTGGATCAAAGTAGTTTACATTTATCACTTTAAATAAATAACTTAAAAATAAATTATATTTGAGAATCTTCGTGAATCTCCCTAATAGTAGCTTAGATTCTATTTTTATATTTGGATTTTTGTTTTATACTTTTTAAATTTTAGCTTCTCATCATCTATTTAAGTAAACTAGTGTTCTATTAACTTTAGAGTTCTTGTATCTTTAGATAATTACTCCATCTATATAGCATCATAATTATCACCTGAAACACCTAATCTATGCATTCGCCCCAACTAATGTGTGAAATTTTCTACAATTTTTCCAGAATTGCTAAATATGATAGCAAGGAGAACAACTCCACTTGTAATTTAGTTTTTTTTTTTTGTTGGGACTTTGATATGATTTTATATAGTTTGGGCTCGATACTCATGTTCATTATACAAGTTAAATTATTACTAATAACTAAAAGAATTGGATCAAAGTAGTTTACATTTATCACTTTAAATAAATAACTTAAAAATAAATTATACATGAGAATCTCCATGAATCTCTCAACCTATTTTTTAAATTTCACTTTTATATTGGAATTTTTGTTTTACACTTTTTAAATTTTAACTTCTCATCATTTATTTAAGTAAACTAGTGTTCTAGTAACTTTAGAGTTCTTGTACCATTAGAATATTACTCCCATATAGCATCACAATTATAACTTGAAACACTTTATTTATGCATTCACATCAACTAATGCATGGATTTTTCAACAATTTTTCTAGGATTTCTAAACAGAATAGCAAGGAGAACAACTTCATTTATAATTTAGTTTTTATTTTTGGGAGTTTGATATGATTATATATATGGTTTGGGCTCGATACTCATATTTATTATACAAATTTAATTATTACTAATAAACTAAAAGAAATAGATCAAAGTAGTTTATCTTTATCACTTTAAATAAATGACTTAAAAATAACTTATACATGAGAATCTCCATGAATCTCTCAACTAGTTTTTTAAATTCCACTTTTATATTGAAATTTTTGTTTTACACTTTTTAAATTTTAACTTCTCATTATATATTTAAGTAAACTAGTGTTCTCTCTAGAGTTCTTGTACCTTTAGATGATTACTCCATCCATATAGCATCACAATTATAACCTGAAACACTTTATTTATGCATTCACATCAACTAATGCATGAATTTTTCAACAATTTTTCTAGGATTTCTAAACAGAATAGCAAGGAGAACAACTTCATTTATAATTTAGTTTTTATTTTTGGGAGTTTGATATGATTATATATATGGTTTGGGCTCGATACTCATATTTATTATACAAATTTAATTATTACTAATAAACTAAAAGAAATAGATCAAAGTAGTTTATCTTTATCACTTTAAATAAATGAATTAAAAATAACTTATACATGAGAATCTCCATGAATCTCTCAACCAGTTTTTTAAATTCCGCTTTTATAATGGGATTTTTGTTTTACACCTTTTAAATTGTAACTTCTCATCATCTATTTAAATAAACTAGTGTTCTAATAACTCTAGAGTTCTTGTATTTTTAGATGATTGCTCCATCCATATAGCATCATAATTATTACTTGAAACACTTAATTTATGCATTTGCACCAACTAATGCGTGAATTTTTCAATAATTTTTCTAGGATTGTTAAAGAGGATAGCAAAGAGAATAACTCTATTTGTAATATAGGTTTTTTATTTTTGGAGTTTGATACGATTGTATATATGATTTGGGTTCGATATTCATATTCATTATACAGGTTAAATTATTACTAATAAACTAAAAGAATTGGATCAAAGTAGTTTATATTTATTACTTTAAATAAATAACTTAAAAATCAATTATACATGAGAATCTCCATAAATCTCTCAACATGTTTTTTAAATTCTGCTTTTATATTGGAATTTTTATTCTTTTTAAATTTTAACTTCTCATCATTTATTTAAGTAAACTAGTGTTCTAGTAACTTTATAGTTCTTGTACCTTTAGATTATTACTCCATCCATATAGCATCACAATTATAACCTGAAACACTTCATTTATGCATTCGCACCAACTAATGTGTGAATTTTTTAACAATTTTTCTAGGATTGCTAAACAGGATAGTAAGGAGAACAACTCCATTTGTAATTTAGTATTTTTTTTTTTTTGAGTTTGATATGATTGTATATATGGTTTGGGCTTGATACTCTTATTTATTATACAAGTTTAATTAATACTAATAAACTAAAAGAATTGGATCAAAGTAGTTTATATTTATTACTTTAAATAAATAACTTAAAAATCAATTATACATGAGAATCTCCATAAATCTCTCAACATGTTTTTTAAATTCTGCTTTTATATTGGAATTTTTATTCTTTTTAAATTTTAACTTCTCATCATTTATTTAAGTAAACTAGTGTTCTAGTAACTTTATAGTTCTTGTACCTTTAGATTATTACTCCATCCATATAGCATCACAATTATAACCTGAAACACTTTATTTATGCATTCGCATCAACTAATGCGTGAATTTTTCAACAATTGTTTTAGGATTTCTAAACAGAATAATAAGGAGAACAACTCCAATTTAATTTAGTTTTTATTTTTGGGAGTTTGATATGATTATATATATGGTTTGGGCTCGATACTCATATTTATTATACAAGTTTAATTATTACTAATAAACTAAAAGAAATGGATCAAAGTAGTTTATATTTATCACTTTAAATAAATAACTTAAAAATAACTTATACATGAGAATCTCCATGAATCTCTCAACTAGTTTTTTAAATTCCACTTTTATATTGGAATTTTTGTTTTACACTTTTTAAATTTTAACTTCTCATTATATATTTAAGTAAACTAGTGTTCTAGTAAATGTTCTTGTACCTTTAGATGATTACTCCATCCATATAGCATAATAATTATAACTTGAAACATTTAATTTATGCATTCGCACCAAGTAATGGGTGAATTTTTCAATAATTTTTCTAGGATTGCTAAGCATGATAGCAAGGAGAACAACTCCATTTGTAATTTAGTATTTTTTTTTGGGAGTTTGATACGATTGTATATATGGTTTGGGCTCGATACTCTTGTTTATTATACAAGTTTAATTATTACTAATAAACTAAATGAATTGACTAAAAGTAGTTTATATTTATCACTTTAAATAAATAACTTAAAAATAAATTATACATGAGAATCTCCACGAATCTCTCAACCAGTTTTTTAAATTCTGCTTTTATAATGGGATTTTTGTTTTACACCTTTTAAATTGTAACTTCTCATCATCTATTTAAATAAACTAGTGTTCTAATAACTCTAGAGTTCTTGTATTTTTAGATGATTGCTCCATCCATGTAGCATCATAATTATTACTTGAAACACTTAATTTATGCATTTGCACCAACTAATGCGTGAATTTTTCAATAATTTTTCTAGGATTGTTAAAGAGGATAGCAAAGAGAATAACTCTATTTGTAATATAGGTTTTTTATTTTTGGAGTTTGATACGATTGTATATATGATTTGGGTTCTATATTCATGTTCATTATACAGGTTAAATTATTAGTAATAAATTAAAAGAATTGGATCAAAGTAGCATTTTGATTGTCAAACTTCTTTTTATTTATGATTTTATCCTTCAAAATAATATTAGCATGATTTTTTTTGTTTAAGTTTCTTTCAATTTGCATGATCTCGCATATATAAGAAGTATCAAGGTAAAATTTCAATGACAAATTAAAGTAGAATTTTAGGTTATAGTTAAAAATAATTTATAGTAATAAGGACCAAACTTAAAATAAAAAAAAGTCTCATTTACAATTGTGCACGAGAAACTTCATTTTCATTTATAACAATTTAGTTTATGTGTTTTTTTCCCTCATTTTAGCAATTTATATTTTTGTTAATTTTTTATTTTTTTTTACATTTTAATCCTTGAATGTTGGGAGGAGCTGAGAGAAAGTTGTTAAAAAACATTGAAGGAGAAACAAAATGCTTCAATGATTATATTCTAGTTAGGAAAATGACAGATCTTTATGTTGATAAGTTCTTTTTTTTTTTACTTATTTTTTTTATTTTTTGTTCTTTAAGTGAGTGAGAATAGAATGTTTTAGAGATGGAAATAGGTTTAGTGGTTTTCAAGTGAATTTTTTGCGGTTTGAAGCCTCGAATCTCAATTTTGATGATCAATTTTTTTTTTTCCATCAAGTGACACGTAGGTTGGCATAGTAGTCAACATGTTGAATGTTTATAAAGAGGGCTGCAAAAAACGTCCGCTCTTTCAGAAAAAAACTAGCCAGGTAAGAGGGCCTCACCTTGTTTTTCTTTTTAAAAACAAAATTCATTATTGTTTTCAAATTTAAAATCAATACCCCGTCTATTTTTAAAAAACTTATTACTTTATTTATTTAAAATATTAATTAATATTTTTATTTCTTTCTTTAATTTCAAAAACATTATTGTAGTTTTCTGTAAATTTTCTTGCTCTTATATCTTATATAAATAAGTTTTATTT